GACAGAGCAAGACTCCGTCTCACAAAAAAAAAAAAAAAGAAACGTATATTTTTCAACTTTTATTCTGTTAAGAAAAGAGATCATCTAAATATGTCCTTGGAAGGCAGTAAGGTAGAGTGGACTTTAATTTTGTATCTCTGGCCGGGTGCAGTGGCTCACACATGTAATCCCAGCACTTTAGGAGGCCGAGGTGGGCGGATTGCTTGAGGTCAGGAGTTTGAGATCAGCCTGGGCAACATGGTGAAATGCCGTCTCTATTATAAATACAAAAATTAGCCAGGTGTGGTGGTAGGCCCCTGTAATTCCAGCTACTCGAGATTAGGCTGAGGCAGGAGAATCGCTTGAACCTGGGGAGTGAAGTCTGCAATGAGCCAAGATCACACTACTGCACTCCAGCCTGGGCAAAAGAACGAGACTCTGTCTCAAAAATGATAATAATAATAGTAATTTTGCATCTCATAGTACTGTAGGGATCAAGTGAAAATATGTGATTGTATTTTCTTAGAAAAGTACATAAAACTACACAAATGGAAGGAGGCATTACAACTAAAAATAATAAACATGATTTCTACCAGCTTTACCTTTCTGGGTAAAAACTTACAACAGCCCATAGATTCTCAGTAAGAACAAAACTATGTGATTAATACTGCATAGTCTAGCTTAGAGGCAAATGTCTGTCTTCAGTTTTTCTAAAATCCAAAAAACAAAGTGTTAGAAAGTTATAAATATACCTGATATGGCATACAGGATCTTCTTTTTTGAGTAGGGGTTACAGCCATGGGATATGAACCACTGTAGGCACACGAAATATCCATTGCATCTAAAGAAGTCATGTTCATTTTGGATGGTTCTGAGTTATTGGATGCACTAATATGACTGTTAAAACTTCGAAAAGCTACAGCATTTCTTTTAGAGGCTAACGTTTTCAGCACCTCCAAAGGAGGAGCTAACATTTTTTGGTTACTCTCTTGTACAGCAGGGTTCTCGTCACCTTTTGGTGAGGTCTTTTCTTGGCAATTTGGTGATACAATAAGTGGATCTTCAATATTTGATTCTTCAAAAGAGGATTCTTTCATGCTTCTATCTGGATCTAAAGGCTGACTTTCTAATGGACTTTCCATTATAGAAATTCCAGGAAAAGATGAATCAGAGTTCATAGAAATATTTTTGGAAGCTCTATCATCATCAGAACATAGAAAACTAGAACCTAAGTAGTCCCTCTTACTATTATTTTCACAATCTTCATCCAGTTCACACATAAGGTTTTTTGCTATCATTGGTATTGGTAATTTTTCTGGTGTTTGTTGTTTATCAGTAAAAGAATTGACAATGTTCTCCTTATTAGCACAGTCATTTTGTTGACTTTTGTGCACTGATAGCTTCAGGTCGTGAACTTCAACTGTTAAGCCTGTATTTTGATTTGTACAACAATCTATCATTTCGTTATGCTTATACACTACACAAGTTTTTTTATTCTGTATGATTTTTTTACAAGGACTGGAGTCAACCCAATCAAAGTTTCTTTTTAAACTTCTTTTCCCAAGGTGCTCTTCAGATATCCCACCAGAATCCACCGCCCACTGATGTGACTGATGGAAACCTGACTGTCTTGTGTCAGTGTCCATATTTATATTATTTACATCCAGTTCTACTGCTTCCCAAGAAACTTCCCCAGATAAGCAATTTTTAGCAAGGTTTACACAAGAGCGTCCAGTGGTGGGAAGGGCACTGCTGTTATGAATGGGAGAAAGAGCTAACTCAAGATCCTTTTTATTGAAACCCTTTGTCTCAATGGCATTTGGCGATTTTGCGCATAACTTTTCAACTGTATTCCAACTCATCATTGTTGGGCCCAATGCTTCGTCATTTTCCTAAGAGGGAAAAAAATATTTGTTTTAGTTATATAAAGCTGATATTCTTTGACCTTTTAACTATGGTCCACTAAGGTAGGATGAACAACCCCATAAACTATTATGCTACCTGTTCCCACTTTTGAATGGAAAAAATAAACAGAGAATTAAAAAGCAATATAAACAATTATAAGCTTATATACATTATTCTGAATGAAATGGTCTAAAATTTAAATAAATCATTCTATAATACTTATTTTGATAGTATATCACAGGTTACTTAAACAGGACAAATTAACAGGCAACATATTCAGGCATACTTGGGGGTAAGGCTGCATTATGTACATATCTATTTTGCAATAGGTATATGGATGATTCTGGTTTTTGTTTGTTTTTTTTTGAAACAGTGTCTTGCTCTGTCATCCAGGCTGAAGTGCAGTGGTGCGATCTCAGCTCACTGCAGCCTCCACCTCCTGGGTTCAAGTAATTCTCCCACCTCAGCCTCCCAAGTAGCTGGGATTACAGGGGTACACCACCACGCCCGGCTAATTTTTGCATTTTTTTTTTTTTTAAATGGAGATGGGGTTTCAGTATGTTGGCCAGGCTAGTCTCAAACTCCTGACCTCAGGTGATCCACCTGCCTAGGCCTCCCAAAGTGCTGGGATTATAGGCCTAAGCTACCACACCTGGTCTGGATGATTCTGTTTTGAACTGCAAAATACACAGGACTTGAAATTTAGTCAATGAAAAATTATAGACCTAAAATATTGTTAATGTAACTATATATCACTTCATATAAGTATTAAAAAACCAAGTTAAGGATGAAGTGACATTAATGGTAATTAATAATTACAAACCCCAAAGAGCAGAAATTAAAATCCATTGTCAAGATGAACTGATAATGCATTAATAATACGTTTTTTTCTGAATTCCAACTATCTATCTGTGGGTACTTGTGGGTACTCAGCTTTATACGTAATATTGCAAATTGGTGCTTGGTGATCAAGATTTTTACAAGAGTAGTCAAGTAGAGTGAGTCTTAAGTAAACTCTAATAGTGCTTATTTTTGATGTATAAATAGTAAACTTTATTAACTATCATTAACTTAGTAATAATAATGAGCACTTGGTCACAAGCAAAAAGGATTTTTTTTTTTTTTTTGAAGATGGAGTTTTGCTCTTGTTGCCCAGTCTGGAGTCATGATCTCCGCTCACTGCAACCTCTGCCTCCCGGGTTCAAGCAATTCTCCTGCCTCAGCCTCCTGAGTAGCTGGGATTACAGGCACCTGCCACCACGCCCAGCTGATGTTTGTATTTTAGTAGAGACAGGGTTTTGCCATGTTGGCCAGGCTGGTCGCAAACTCCTGACCTAGGTGATATACACGCCTTGGCCTCCCAGAGTGCTGGGATTACAGGCATGAGCCACCATGTCTGGCCTAAAAAAGGATATTCTTGAATTATATCTCACTAATCTGCAAGCACAGAAAATGATGCATGTGAGGATCAGTATAAGGTTTTTCAGTGGGTGCCTTATCATTCCTCTAATCATAACTTGAGAAGCACCACTAGCGCTGCATCCCTCAGGGGTGCAGAAGTGGGAGGAAGATGGTAAAGCCGCGTATAATTTGAAATAGTAAACAATATGTTTTCTTCAATAGGAAAGGAGTGCAATAATAGTACTAGGAATGGAAATCTGTTTATTTTGCAGAATATACTACCTTACTTTATAACGAGAGAAGGAAAAAAGATTAAAGAAATTCTGGCTTAGTTAAAAGTTAATTTGATTTTGCTTATAAAATACAAATATCCAATAATAATAAAATTCTATTGTGGAGAATAAGCAGCAAATAGAATCAAAATTATCTTAACAAATATAAGGTTTATTCTTTGGATATTAGTGTTATCCTAATCTATCATTATTTTATCAGTACTCTATGAAGGAAACCTTATTATGATTTTAAATTTTAGTTCCTATCACCTTTAATATCTATTAGCTCTAATAACTGTTTAAAAAGGCAAAAACAATATGTAAGTTAAGTAAAGTAACTGTAAGTAAATCCATTCATTTGGCAAGCAATATCCGCAGAATAGACACTTTAAGGGCACACCCACATTACCTTTCTGGTCTAAAAGTTATTTCTGATCCAGAAGAGTTACCATTCCATTAAACAAGAAACTGGCAGGAAATAGTATAGAAGGAGGTAGTATGAGTTTTAAAATGATATAGGTTAAAAACAATATAAAACAAAACCAACAAGCCAATGTCTGTATCATGGGAAGGACTTTCAAAAACAAGTGAGGTCCACCTAGACATACAGAAGCCAAGCATTTACTATCAATTTACTGCAAGGATCTCATTATATAATCAAGCAAGAACAATGTCACAATTGAATGAGAAATTAAATATTTCAAAAGAATTTGACAGAGTGTGCAGGACAATGAATTTCTGATTAATACCATGACTGCCATTCATGTAACAATTTCTTTTTTTTTTTTTTTTTTTTTTTTGAGACGGAGTCTCGCTCTGTCGCCCAGGCTGGAGTGCAGTGGCCAGATCTCAGCTCACTGCAAGCTCCGCCTCCCGGGTTTACGCCATTCTCCTGCCTCAGCCTCCAGAGTAGCTGGGACTACAGGCGCCCGCCACCTCTCCCGGCTAGTTTTTTTGTATTTTTTTAGTAGAGATGGGGTTTCACTGTGTTAGCCAGGATGGTCTCGATCTCCTGACCTCGTGATCCGCCCGTTTCGGCCTCCCAAAGTGCTGGGATTATAGGCTTGAGCCACCGCGCCCAGCCACAATTTCATTTCTTTATGGAATTTATATGAAAAGGTATGTTTCTATCATTCATTTGACATACATAATTGGTTTTCATTAAGATAAATGTCCCTCAAACCTGGCAATCTTTTTCCCATTTGGGACTGCTGTGGCATTCTGATTCCACACTGGATATGAAGGTGTGGGATTGACTACTGGCACTGGATGTGGCCAGCCTTTTCCTAGACTGGAGTAGATTAGAAGTCAGACACTTCACAGGCATTCCTGGGTTGGAGGCAACTGTTTCAAGACCTACAGAGAAGAGACAATATTGAATTCTATGTTACAGCTTTCTTAGTTCCTTACTGAACCTGAATCTTTACATACAATTAAGCAAAGTATTAAGAATTACATAGTAAGAATTACATATCAGAACTATTTCTTTGTAAACACTATCTAGTCCAAAAGAACAGCTGGCATGCTTCCCATTATGTTTAGATACACATACTATTAATATATCTAAACATATCCCACTATGTTTAGATATAAGTACTACTGTGAAAGTTAGAACCAAACAAAATCCCCTTAACATTCATACAGTAAAGAATAAGAACAAGGGAATGGTGGATTTATTGACTGATTTACGGCAGGATCTCCCTCTGTCATCCAGGCTAGAGTGCAGTGGTATGACTACTCTCACTGCAGCCTTGACCTCCTGGGCTCAAGCAATAGTCTCATCTCAGCCTCCTGAGTGGTGAGGACCACCAAATCTGGCTAATGCTTTAAATTTTTTTTAGAGATGGCGGTCTCACTATATTGCCCAGGCTGGTCTCAAACTCCTGGGTTCAAGTGATCCTCTCGCCTCAGCCTCCCAAAATGCTGTGATTACAGATGTGAGCCACCAAATTAATGTATAACTAGGAGCAAATCAATATGGAGTATCTATCATCCAATTTGAACCCATTCCTGACAAAGGAACATTATTGATGTGGTATATCCAGATGTGCTATAAGGTTAGAATATGACTAAATTTACTCAGTTCAACTTGTATTTAACACTTGTATTTAATTCAACTTGTATTTATTGTAACACTGAGGTTTATGCACTTACAAATGTGAATTATACACACTTATAAGGGATTTTTAAAAAATACTACTGGATAAAGCAAACAAATAATGGTAAATTGCTTGTTTGTTTGTTGGTTTTGAGACAGTCTCACTGTCACCCAGGCTGGGGTACAGTGGCACGATCTCAGCCCACTGCAACCTCCGCCTCCTGTGTTCCAGCGATTCTCCTGCCTCAGCCTCCTGAGTAGCTGGGATTACAGGTGCCCACCACCACGATCAGCTAATTTTTGTATTTTTAGTAAGGACAGGGTTTTACCATGTTGGCCAGGCGGGTCTCGAACTCCTGACCTTAAGTGATCTGCCCGCCTTGGTCTCCCAAAATGCTGGGTGTCATGTTGGTACTCAAAATGTTTTGAATTTTGAAGAAGTTTTTTGTTTTTTTAAGGTAGGGTATCATGCTGTCACCAAGGGTGGAGTGCAATGGTGCTATTATGGTTCACTGCAGCCTCAACCTCCTAGGCTCAACTGATCCTCCTGCCTCAGCCTCCAATGTAGCTGGGACCACAAGTGTGCACCAACATGCCCGGCTAATTTTTGTAGAGATGAAGTCTCACTTTGTTGCTCAGGCTGGTCTTGGAACTCTTGGCTTGCGGTGAGCTGCTGAGATCACGCCACTATACTCCAGCCTGGGCGACAGAATGAGACTCCATCTCAAAAAGAAAGAAATCCGGCCGGGCGCGGTGGCTCAAGCCTGTAATCCCAGCACTTTGGGAGGCCGAG